ACAACAACACAAAAAAAAAAAAAAAAAAAAAAAAGAAAGAAAGAAAAAAAAAGAAAAGAAATCCTGAGCCAGCATGTGGCAGGCTGAGGCAGGAAGATCACAAGTTCAAGCCCAGCCTGGGCAATTTAGCAACTTTGTGAGACTCTGTCTCAAAAATTTATAATAACTAAAAATAAACAAAAAGTTTAAAGGGCTTGGAATGTAGCTCAATGTGAAGGCCCTGGAGGTAATCTTCAGTGTGGAGAAGGGAGATGAAAAAGGAAAGAAGAGACGTGGGCCAGACGAGAGGCGCGCGGAGCAAGACGCCCGAGGAGCTGTCCAGGGTGCTGACGCGCTGCCGTGTAACTGAACAGGTCTCACTTCTTCCAATGCAGGGGCGCAGAAACTACGGGGCAGTCCAGCCTTGGACTCAGAAGGAGGTGAAAGAGGAGAACATTCTGAAACAGGTAGGATGAGGGGCTCAAGAGAATACAGATACAAAGACAGGCATAAGCATCAGGAGGCCGCTGAAGCCAATTCATAGAAACGTTTGACTCAATTTTAGTTTTTAAATAATAGTCACCAAGAAACTCCAAATACCCTAAACAAACGTGGAACAAATGTGGTGGTGATGCTTTCTGGGTGGCTGTGCATCAAATGGTACAATGTGAAATAGTATAAACAAATTTGTGAGAGCGAGGTGTGGTGGCACACGCCTGTAACCTCAGCACTCAGGAGGCTGAGGCAGGAGGATCACTGTGAGTTGAAGGCCACTCTGGGCTACATAGTGAGTTCAAGGCCAGCCTGAACTGCATAGTGAAACCCTGTCTCAGCCACCCCACAAAAACACCCCATAAATTTGTCATCAAAACTATAACCACACAGCCAGGGATTTAGCTCAGTGGTTCCGCTGCCTGCCTCACAAGCAGAAGGTCCCAAGTTCAATCCCTGGTACAAAAACAACAACAACAACAAAAAAACAAAAACAAAAAACTACACCCCCAATTAGGCATCCAAAAGACTTGTATTCCTTGTGTGTTTGTGTGTGTGTAGACAGAAAAAGATTATTGTGGAAGCAGGACAAATAGAAGTTTGACTTAGCTTGATGTCATTGTCTTCTCTGTTTCTTTGTTTAAAACTTTCCTCTCTGTAGGGCTGGGGATGTAGCTCTTTGGCACAGCACCTGCCCAGCAAGCACAAGGTCCTGAGTTCGATACTCCACACCACACAAACAAAATCACTCCTCTTTCTCAAGAAGGTCTGAGGCCTCATCCTCCCCCTTTTCTTCAAAAATGTGCACACACAAGCATGTTGTTATGGAGGTTAAAGAAAGTCAGCTGAAAACAGCAACTAAAATCAGACAGAGAAAAGGAGTAGAGTCCCTAAACCCGGTCTGTATGGCATATGTCAAACACACACTGCCTCGTGGGAGTCCTTAAGCTGAGACCTCAGCCAGGTCTGTCCGACTGATCAGAAGTGTTTTAGGATCAATGATCACGCCTTGTGTCTTTTCTGACTCAGCACCAAGCATGTAACTGGATACACAGTGAGTGCCTGACAAACACTGGTTGGCTCTGATGGAGGCAAAGTAGAGATGGAGACTGGATTTCATTCAATCAATGTATTTCTCTTTTCTTTTAAAAATTACAACATTGGGCCAAGTGTGGTAGCACATGCCTATAATCTCAGCACTGGGGAGGCTGAGGCAGGAAGGTTGTTTAGTTTGAGGCCAGCCTTGGCTACAGACTGAGTCTGAGGGCAATCTAAATTGCCTAGCAAGACATTGGTTCAAAAAACAAAAAAAAAATAAAATCACAACAATGGTGTTAACAAATAAAAACTTTCTACAACACAAAATTCCAACAAGAGTCTTAGTTGCTTTTCTCATTGCTGAGACAAAATACCCAAATGCCCAAAGTATTTTTCTTTTTGGACAGATTTCAAAAATATGAAACACTTCACACATTTGTCCAATGCCCAAAGTTAAAGAAGGAAAGGTTTATTGAGCTCACAGTTTGTAGAGGTTTCAGTTCACAGTTGGTTGGCTCCAAGCAGGGTGGCCTGGCAGAGGGGCAATAGTTCATGGTAGGCAGAAGGCAGAAAAGTCGCAAAGAAGCAAGCAGGCAGCAAGTGAAAAGTGACCACAGCAGCCCTCTTTGCACCTGTTACATCCTATCCAGCCTCCACACCCTTAGAGTGGGTAGCACCCACACCCAGTGTGGGCCTTCCCACCATCCACCCCAGAACTATGCCAAACCAATCAGCAGGCTAATTTAATGATCTCACAGCTTTGATCCCAGCCCCACTCACTCCAGATCCAGCCACTTAGAAAAGCCCCACCTATGACCACGTGAGGTTTTAGGGGACATCTAGACACAAGCCTTAACAACAAGAAAGTAAAGAAATTATGGCATATCAATACAAGACAAGACAACACTATGCTAAACTGTAAAAAGAACGGAATGAGTCTATGTAAGCATTCTTTTTTTCGGGGAGGTACTAGGGATTGAACTTGGTACCTTGCACTTGCGAAGCAGGCGGCACCACTGAGCTAAATCCCCGGCCCCTGGGAATGAGTCAAAAAACATGTGGAAAATGTCTTTGGCTTATGAAGTGAAAAGAAAGTTATGTCACAGTAAGTGATCTATACATATGACTCCATATTTATTTTAAAAATTAAATTAAGCTGGGTGTGATGGTAACTCCACCTGTTAATTCCCGCACAATGGGAGGCGAAGGGAGAAGGATTACAAATTCAAGACCAGCCTGGGCAACTTAGTGAGACATTGTCTCAAAATAAAAAATATTGGGCTGGGGATGCCATGCCTGCCTGGCAAGCACAAGGTCCTGAGTTCGATCCTGGGTTTCAGGAAAAAAATGTTTTAATAGGTGGGGCCAGTCAGTGTGAAGACCCTGGGTTCAATCCCCAGTACCCCTCCTGAGTAAATTTACCTCAAACTGAGAAAGGTGGCACCCTTTGGTCACATCCAGATCTAGTCATGTTCATGTATTGATAAGCCCAGGATGTGGCACTCAGCCAGGGCTTGGCAAATGGTAAACGACTACAGCAGCATCAACATCTCACCAGCCCACCCAAGGAGAGTGTTGGACTGAAGGTCTGAAGGTCGTTGGTGCAGTCCGAGCTTGGGTTGATGGTTTCTTTTTGTCAACTTTACCTGTCTACTTATTAATCAGTTTTCCTAACTTATTTGGAAAAGTTTGAAACCCAGAGAAAAGTTGCAAGGACAATGCAATAGACATACATACATCGCTCACCCTCACATTTGCTTTATCTCTCCTGCGTGTGCGTGTGCATGCGTGTGCGTGTGTACGTACTGTTTTTGCCAAGTCATTTGAGAGTGAGTTACATAAACTGTGGTAATGCAACCCCGAATACTTATGTATCTCCCAAGAACATTTGCCTATTTTTATATAAGTCTTACTTTGAAACCATTTAAGACTCACAAGAAGTTGCAAAAATAGTACAGGAAGTTCCAATGTACCATTTACTCACACTCCCCTCATGATAGCTTCTTACATAACCACAGTCCATTATCAAAACCAGGAGGA